TTCTGTGAGGCTCTGTGAAACCTCGGTGGTCCTCTTCCACCTTTTCAGCCCTCCTGTACCTGTTTAACACATTCCCTATATTAAATCTTTGTGTTAAAACACCTGATGTGGTTCTGTTTTCCTGGATGGCTCTGGCTGGTACCACTCAGCTGGATCACAGCTGCCCTCTTCGGTTAGACTTCAGTTCTCCTGGTCCCTTCTCCTCCACTCCCCATTATCCAACATGTGGCTGACTTTGCTGCTTGACTGTAAGGTATCCAATGCGTGTCCCTACTCTAATCAATAGAGTATCAATAATCTATAGATGCTTCTGCTTACCGAGCATCTATAGGTGCCAGAGACTGACCTGATGCAATCATCTCATTAATCCTCTCCACAGCACTGTGAATCGGGCACTGCTGTGATCCCCACTATACAGACGGGGAAACTGAGGCCAGGACAGGGAAAGCTAACTATACTGTCCTTCAGTCAGCAAGTTCATATTTCTGTTAAGAACCTTTGCATTCTATTTATGCATTTGATAAATATCTGATCTGTGCATTCCAGGCTCCCTTTAGAAGAAAGTAAGTTATACACAATTGCTTGGAATCAAAACCTCACAAACTGACATCCCCTGTCTTAGTTTTCTCCTCTGTCATATGGGGATCGTGACAGATGCTACCTCACAAGGTTTCGATGAGGATTCAATGACATGATGTGTGCAAAGTGCTTAGCTCCATACCCAGCATGTAAGAAGTACTGAACAAACGTTAGCCACTGATATTTTTACTAAGTACAGAAGGGTTATTGTGTAAAGCATGAATTACAGAGTGGCTGGGAAGGATGTGTATGGAGAGTGTGTAGTAATGGGAAAGTGCCTGTTCTCTGTGAAAGAGAAAAAGTAAACATAAATGAATTCACATACTAAAAAGGCTCACAGAAAACAATCAAAACATTAACTGTGGTTGATTCACAGCTGAGATCTGCGACAATGTTGTTTCTAATGAAAATGTAAAAGATGCAATCCCATCAGCATGCTCATTAGCTTCTTCACAGAAGCTGACAAGTAGATCCCGAAACTTGTATGAAGATGGAAGGGACCCAGAACAGCCAAAGCAATCTTAAAGAAGAGAAACACATCCGGAGGACGGTGCAACAGGCATGGATGTCAGGGCCAAGGTGAGAGCTGAGCGTTGAGATCGCACAGCCATGACTGTCAAGAACATTTCTTGCCCTGGCTGGTTTTCTCGGAGGTCAGAGCGCCAGACAGCTAGTCTTCTGAAAGAATGCCCTAAGCTTCATTGACAGAGGTATCTTAGAGCAAGAGTAAAAAATTCTTGTAGTAGGAGTTGCTTTGGGCGGTCGTGAGGCTTTCATCCCTTGAGGTGTGAGAGCTGGGCTGGAAATCTCTAGTTTTGCGGTTTCCAAAAGACAAAATTGTCACCAGACCACAGTGATTTCAGGAAAAAGGACTCATGGTTAGGTTTTCATAAACCTTAGTTTATTCATTTTAAGCACCGTTTTGTTTCTGATGATCATTTCCCTGCTTTTTTTCTTTTTATATAAACCCGTCTTTCTTTAATAAAATGATGCTGATGATTGACTTCTTTTTGGTTATTTTTAATTGTTCTCAACTGGCAAGGTGAGGAGTTGGAAGCTCTCTCACTTTTATTTATTTTTAATCTTTATTGTTGAAAGTATTACATATGTCCTCCTTTTTCCCCATTGACTTCTCCCAAACCACTCATGCCCCCCCTCCCCCATCCCTCTCTCACTTTAAAAAAATATTCTACAACTCTAAAATCTCAAAGTCTGGGAATCACTGGGAAAAACTCGCAGCTCTGACACTTATTTCCTGCAAGAACTTGAGCAAGTTATGAAACCTCTTTGAATCTCTGTTTTTCCATCTGCAAAATGGGGATGAGTCACACATCTCATGGTTGCTGTGAGAAGTAAGCCAGATAATGTATGTGACTGTACTTAGAACATCATAACCACTTGAGAAAGTGTCCTCCAGAGCCTATGAGTTCCATGAAGGCACCCACTTTTCTCTTCTGCAAATTTGAAGGGTTCTTGTTTCTTCAATCTTTGTATTTCCACTCTGGTCTCTTCTGTATGTTCTCAGTTTGTCACTGTTGTTCTTAATCTATGAATCTAGAACTGAACACATGCTTTTGGTGTGGCCTGGCAGTGTAAAGTAGGCCCACTATCACCTCCTTCAATCTAGACTCTGTACCTCCATTAATCCAACCAAAATTTACAATGGATTTTGTTGAGATGAAAGTGCCTAACAGCCTCCAGACCTTTTTTATAAAAATGTTTGCACAACCTTGGCTCCCATGTGCAATTGAAGTCTTAGACCTAAAACGAGAGGCTTTACTTTTGTGATTTACTCAATAGAACAGGGTCAAAGAAGACCCCAAATGTATTCTTGAACTCAAGAAAGCCAACGAAATATTTCACGGACTCTTTTTAGTACAAGGAAGAAAACGTTTATTTAAATCTTGATGCAGTCCAGGGCTGCAGAGCTGGCACGAGGTGGTGATGGAGCCCAGATGCGGTGGTTTCGTCCCCCCTATCTCACCCACATCAGGTTTACCCAGGGGACCTGACATGGTGGTTCATGTCTCAGGACAGTGGACTATAGTCTGTCCTGGGGTGGCTCTGTAGGAACTGAGAACACACAGGATAGCCTGGGGGTTTGAAAGAAACGGAGCCCAGACGGATTATAGTGTACAGGGCCCAGGAATCTCCTACTGCTTCCTGAGAGCAGTGATGTCCCAGAGCCTTCCTGCTTCTATTTATGCATTTGATAAATATCTGATCTGTGCATTCCAGGCTCCCTTTAGAAGAAAGTAAGTTATACACAATTGCTTGGAATCAAAACCTCACAAACTGACATCCCCTGTCTTAGTTTTCTCCTCTGTCATATGGGGATCGTGACAGATGCTACCTCACAAGGTTTCGATGAGGATTCAATGACATGATGTGTGCAAAGTGCTTAGCTCCATACCCAGCATGTAAGAAGTACTGAACAAACGTTAGCCACTGATATTTTTACTAAGTACAGAAGGGTTATTGTGTAAAGCATGAATTACAGAGTGGCTGGGAAGGATGTGTATGGAGAGTGTGTAGTAATGGGAAAGTGCCTGTTCTCTGTGAAAGAGAAAAAGTAAACATAAATGAATTCACATACTAAAAAGGCTCACAGAAAACAATCAAAACATTAACTGTGGTTGATTCACAGCTGAGATCTGCGACAATGTTGTTTCTAATGAAAATGTAAAAGATGCAATCCCATCAGCATGCTCATTAGCTTCTTCACAGAAGCTGACAAGTAGATCCCGAAACTTGTATGAAGATGGAAGGGACCCAGAACAGCCAAAGCAATCTTAAAGAAGAGAAACACATCCGGAGGACGGTGCAACAGGCATGGATGTCAGGGCCAAGGTGAGAGCTGAGCGTTGAGATCGCACAGCCATGACTGTCAAGAACATTTCTTGCCCTGGCTGGTTTTCTCGGAGGTCAGAGCGCCAGACAGCTAGTCTTCTGAAAGAATGCCCTAAGCTTCATTGACAGAGGTATCTTAGAGCAAGAGTAAAAAATTCTTGTAGTAGGAGTTGCTTTGGGCGGTCGTGAGGCTTTCATCCCTTGAGGTGTGAGAGCTGGGCTGGAAATCTCTAGTTTCGCGGTTTCCAAAAGACAAAATTGTCACCAGACCACAGTGGATTTCAGGAAAAGGACTCATGGTTAGGTTTTCATAAACCTTAGTTTATTCATTTTAAACACCGTTTTGTTTCTGATGATCATTTCCCTGCTTTTTTTCTTTTTATATAAACCCGTCTTTCTTTAATAAAATGATGCTGATGATTGACTTCTTTTTGGTTATTTTTAATTGTTCTCAACTGGCAAGGTGAGGAGTTGGAAGCTCTCTCACTTTTATTTATTTTTAATCTTTATTGTTGAAAGTATTACATATGTCCTCCTTTTTCCCCATTGACTTCTCCCAAACCACTCATGCCCCCCCTCCCCCATCCCTCTCTCACTTTAAAAAAATATTCTACAACTCTAAAATCTCAAAGTCTGGGAATCACTGGGAAAAACTCGCAGCTCTGACACTTATTTCCTGCAAGAACTTGAGCAAGTTATGAAACCTCTTTGAATCTCTGTTTTTCCATCTGCAC